AATTATAAGTTTTTATTTCCAGGTTAAGTAGAAATCTACACTGAAAATATTTGGTTCAGAGTCTACTATGTAAAAAGTCCTTTTAAAACTATGTTTGTTTGTTTGGTTTTTTTTGGTACCGGGGATTGAACTCGGGTCCTTGTGCTGGAGAGGCAGGCGCCGGAACCACTGAGCTAAATCCCTGGCCCAAAAACTATGTTTTTCTTTAGTGGGAAATTATCTCTTTATGTTATTCATATATGTGAGGGAAAACTTTTGCCAAATGTGCTTTCCTACAAATTTTTTAACCTTAATTTTCAAATGTAGTAACATTTAATTGTTCAAATTAATTTCATAATTTAAAAAATCCTTTGGCTTCATAATTGTTTTCCGTTTGTTACTTTTCATTTTAGCATATAAACTTTCCTCCTTTGAAAAGTTTTTAGTAATTTGTTTGTTGTGCTGAATTGTCTCTTCAAAAGACCAGCAATTCTATTTAATCGTGAATTGTATTTTTTATTTTTCTGTGTATTTTTTGCCTTGTTTTTTTATTAATGCATCCATTTTATCTTTATTTATGATTACTTTTAGCCTTTTCATAGGTTTTAGAACTCATGTTTTATCTACTTATTTTTGTTGATGCCTTTTTCATTTTTTCCCCAATGTTTCATGGTAAGAATATCTCCATCCATACTCTAGCAATGTCATTTAGATTCATTTTTGTTTGTTCTATACCTTCTGGAACTTTTCTTTTGTGATTCTCTTTGACCCAATGGTAAATATCATGCATTTTAATGTCCTGGTGAAAAGAATGTTCTTAAAACATGAGTTTTAAATTCACTTTTAATTGCATTTTCACTGGTAAGCACTGTAAAGTCTTTCTCTATGCTTTAATATGTGGCTGACTTTTGTGTATGTTCCATGTGCTCTTGAAAAATATATCTGATTTCATCACAATTCATAGTTCAATTTGTATCTGTAAGAGTAACTTTCTTGATTAGGGTACAGAACATCTGTACCCTAAATTTTGCTTCACTGACACCATCTTGGACTAAGGAGTGTTAAAAGTTTTCTATTATTTCTATTATTTTCCCCTGAATTTCACAGAGCTTCAGCATTATAAAAATAGTTGATATGTGTCTGAATGCCAACCATTATATGACTCTTCATTATAATTATAATGTTTAGCATATTAAGATGTCCTATTCCTTATTTGATTTTTTTCTCAAATTCTATCTTTTCTGATGCCAAGAAGAGAGCCCCTTCTTTCTTTTTTTATTTACATTTGCCTGGATGCTTTTTGCTCTTATGTAGTTAATTAACTTATGTTTTTGGTGTAGGGGATTGAACTCAGGACCCTGTGCTTACAAGGCAGGCAGCAGAACCATTGAGCTAAATCCCTGGCCCATTTTGCTTTTATTTTTATTCTTTTAATATTCCTGTGTGTTTTAAGTGTACCTTTACTGTACAACATTTAGCTGAATTTTGCAATATTGGTTAGTCTGATGATATTTTTCTTTTAATATGTGATCTAATTTCATTTATATTAATTAGCCTCACTTTTATAATATTGTTTTATGTAAATATGCTCTTTGCCCCTGTCTTCTTCGGTCTTTTATCCATTAGTAGCACTGTTAAAGGGATAAAATATCTATACAATTCTTCTGCTGAATAGCCTCCAGCACTGTTTTTGTTGGGGGTTTCATCCACTGTATTCATAGTGAGTCCAACATTCTGTAAACCAAATTGACCTTAAATTATATCAATAAAGCTTCATACTATGAAGCTGATAATAAAAGGAGTCTAGTATATTTCAACTTTGACTGTGGTAATATGCCTTTTGATTTTTAATAGCCAACATAAACCTTTTCTTTTTTCCTTTTTGATAGAGTTTTGCATGAAATGCAATATGTTCAGTTGAAAGACAGCAACTCTCCTTGTCTCTTGTAATTATAATGGATCATGAGATACGTTTCTAGCCACCCCCCCAAAAACAAAACCAAGAAAGCAAAAGTATAATTGATAAGCTTCTGGGGATTCCTGTCAATGTTTACTTTCTCTAAATTGGTGCATTCCTTTCCTGATTGTCAGTTCTCCTTTCCTAATCCACTTCCTGTTTTCTTCTTTCATTTTTTTCTCTTTCTTTTCCTACTCATTCTATCCCCCTTGCTCTTCATCTTCTGTAGGAAGTAGACAGAAATTGGGAGTGGTGCATCTATCTTTCAATCTTGAGGCAGCCCTGGAAATCTACTGGTTAGTGATGATAGAAAAGAAAAAGAAAGATCTACCTTGGGCTATCCTTGAAATATTGCACTTGGACTTCCATCCTCTGGACCTCTTATTTTATATAAAATTAATCATATATTTGGTTTAGTTTGTTTTACACATAATGGAATATTATATCTAACATATTTAACTTCATTTTGACAATTATGTGGCTTCTTCATTCATTTTCCATTATCAAACTTTTGTTTGCTTCCAGATCTTAAGGGTAGATTCATTTTTTCTGGTTTTGACCTTTGGTAATTTTTTGGGCCTTACTCATATTCAAACTCTTATATTCTCTCTGGTTCACCTCAGCCCAGTGGCAGCTTTCTTTGCTGTCTACTTTCTTTTCTATGGGAGTATCCTGTAGTTCTGAAGGCTGCTTTCTAACTACATTATACACAGAGATGTTCTCAATGTTTTGACTCTGGCATCATGAGAACAAACACACACACACACACACACACACACACACAAACACACACACAAATACACACTCAGTTTCCAAATCAAATTTCAGTTCTAGATGGACTTGTTAGTTCACTTGTGGGCATAGTGTTATACAAGGTAATTTGCACAAAAGAAAGCATAGTGAACATTAGTGAATTGCCTTGAGCTCCAGCCAGAGCTTTGAAAATATGGTTCTTTGATCTCACTGGTGAATAGCTTAACACTCAGTAATACCGTCTTCTACAGGAAAAAGAAGGCAGATAAACAAAAAGAATCCCTACTTTGAGAATAGTTGTGTAGCCTGTGAACATTCTTGTTTAAATGCTTTGATGGAAGACATGATGGTTTGGGTTCTGGAGTGACTGACAGATACAATCTTGATCTATAAAAAGGTAATTTCTGCAATGAGATGTTCCGTGACCATTTTAGGATGAATACTTCAGGATCCCATTATTACTGAAACTTCATCATAAAACAAACCCAGAGTTTATAAATAATGATATTTGGAAGATCTGATGTTGCTTACATAATTTTAAGATTATTTGTCACATTAAGAACTTAAACCCAAAGAATATAAATGACCTTTTCAAGATCCTTCAGCTAGCATGAGCCTTACTGAAGTACCTCTAGTCTTAAATTTTCCTCTGAGCTCAACAATGTGTAAATTAGTGAGAGTGAATTAAGGTATTAAATTTATTACTGATAAAGTTTAGAAGCTTACAAGCTTTGGAATTCTATTTGTAGTCAAGTCTACCTTACATGAGTGCTTTAGGGAAATAGAGGTGGTAATACTATACACAGCAGAGAAAAATCTTGGGTATGTTGATACACATCAGTCTGGCCCAAAGGTATTGGATGCCAAAGTAAAGGGCATTAGAGGGCACTTTAAAACAATTTCAAGTGTCTTTTGGTGCTAGACTTGTGAGAGTATAAGTAAAGTGGACCAGAGATCAGTATCTAGATGCGTACACATCTAGGTAGGATCTGTGGGCTTAAAAAGTTTGTGTTGTATGCATGTGTGTTGAGTAGGAGGCATGACAGGGAGAACATTACCTTTTAGAAGGTGTAAGCTGCGGATCAGCTTCCAGAGAGATTAGGCTTGGTGACCTGCTTTCTAAAGATAGGCCGAAAATCAGTATTTTTATTATAGACAAAACTTTGATTTTTTAATGTTAGCTCAAAATATCAAAGTACTGTGTAGCTGCTCAAACGTGGAGACATAATTGTGCATTAGACTTGAGTATTGGGCTACAATTTAAGAAGAAGACATATTTAGAAGGCAGTGTATATAGAGAAAGCAGACAACAGTGAAGAAGCTTGAAATTTTTATTAATTCTATCTTTGATATATTGAAAGCTGAGAATTTTTATGACAAAGGCTTCAAGAAGTTCTCTTTTTAGTTTCACTGCTGTGGCTACCAGTTCTTCCTTTTTCCTAGTACTGAATGCAGGTATGCTCAGATTGGAATAATTTGCAGTTACAAATTATATAACAGAAAAATAATTTCATTGCTAAATGTAAACAGGCTGGGGTACTTCAACCAAAATAAGATGAAAACAAGAGACTGCAGGAATTTTATACTTTAAAGTTGGTATTTTAGCATTATTCTGACAATCGTTCATTCCATTTGCAATCATTTGGCTGCACAATTTATTAGCATGAAAAGCAGTATTCAGAATACATTGCTTACAAATTACAGAACTTAAAATTTCAAACATCCCAATGCATGGCAGGTGATATGAAGATGGTCTTGAATATTGACATACTTATTTCCTACAAATAAAAATAAAAACAATGATTTAACATAATTACAATAACCAGATAATATAATTAATTCATCCAGGAAACTTATATCAATGATTTTTGATACAAGTTGTTCAGCATTCTCATTATTTGTAAATCTCTCAGTTTTTTGGACTGTTTTTTTGTTATAGTTTTTTGGACTATATTTTTATTAAAAATGATTTATCTAAGCTTTGCTTATCAAAAATTATAAAGATTTGTGTATGATTTTTAAAAACATCAATAGTAATTGGTTATATTAGTATCTCATTTTTACTGCTCTGCTTAGTAAATTGAATACAAATGTAACATACAATGGCATGTCACCTTGTGTTAAACTTTCAACATATGTATAGCAATTTTAAAGTGACATTAATATGTCAATGACTCAACTGATTTAAACATTCATACTTCCTATTGTGTAACAAGAGAGTATAGACCCTCCTTCATATGGGTAATAATTTGTAGCAGTTGACAAAATTTATGAAAGCTTTAGTGGTTTTCATTATTAACTAAAAATGCAATCACCTCTCAGTGATTTTGGTCTGAATCAGCCAATTGATAAAGTCCCTGGTGGCAAGAGTGTCAAGAACAGTGTTCATCTCATCTGAGAAAGAGCCATCGGCATGTCTGCGGCGGAGTTCTTCAACAATGGTGACTTCTTCTGGGAAGCTAAGAAAATGAGGCTTAAAGTTACTATTTGGTTAGATACTTTAAGTAAGTGCTTATGGGTTGTCTCCCATTGGTAACATATGCAAGGGCAACTGTTGAGCATTCAGTACAGGATTCTGTGCACAGAGAACCTAAGAGAAGATTCCTCATAAATGTTCGTGTGAACTGGAAACTGTTGCAAGGGTAGAAGTTTTCAGAGCTGGCATCTGAAACCAAGCTTGTTTAACTTCATGTCCTTTGTAATATTCCAGCTTGCTTTGAGAATTTTAATATCTTGGATACACAGAAGCTAATGTTGAGACTATTAATTTGGCCACAACAAAATATATTATCATATATCTATTACTATCAACATTGCAAAATACAATATTAAGGGGTTGAAAAATCTATATTAGATTTTCTTTTTCACTGATTTGTCTTAGCAGAATTTTGAGTATCCCCTATGATACTGTAAAATATCCTCAAGTGGAAGCAACTGTTTTACCATTGATTCTACAAGTTTGGTTAATGTTTTAAAGTCAACCACAGTGCACATTTTTTTATTAAGATCTTTTAAAATTTCAGTATGTTTTAATTCTGATTTAATGATCAGAGTAGAACACAAATTTCTTGTCTTTTTTTTAACCAAATACTGATTGAAATAGTTATAATAAAATGGAATGATTTGTGAGTCTGTTTGTATTAAATCCAAGTAAGCAACTAAATGTCTTAGTCTCATTCTCAACTTTGATTATTTATTGGATATCTACATGACACTGCTATAAAAAACCGAGTATGTGGCTCAATATATGATTGTTTTTACGTATCTCTACTTTGAGTGTTATTAACATCTTATGTTTGGTCTTTTTTGTCTTCATTATATATTTATATAAATATTTATTAACACATAACTATATGTTAATCACACATGCAACTATTTCAAGTCAAACATTAAGTATGAAAAGTTTTATTTAAATATAGAAATATTTAAAGTTTTCGGTACCATTTATATTTTCCTTATATCTAGCTTTCTCAGGACTGTCTAGTTGAAATTTGTTGTTCTAATGTAGTTATCAAAAGCATACTATTTACTTTCAAATGTGCCTCATCTGGATGAGTCAGTACCTAATTATAACACAGCTATAACGGGAGATAGAAAAATACTGTGATAAACGCTATTAATACCTGCCAGCAAAATTTGTATATTGTTTCTTATTGGTAAGAACACTATTTCCTTCCTAGCTGCTTTTGTAATCCTGATTCATATATAGATAACTAGATTTAAATATTTTGCCCCAAGGAGAAGACATGTCAGGTAAGAATGTACAGACTTACTCTCGCCTTCCTCGGCCTTTCACCAGCCAAGCAATGAATTCCTTGGCAGCTTGGCCTTCCAAATAAGAGCTTACATCACTGGTAAAGGTCCCTTCAGCATGTCTCTCAAATTCATCATGACGTTTGGCAATGTTATTCCTGAAATAAATGTGACAGTGAGTTGAAGCTCTGTATCGTTGGCATTAGGTTCACACTGATAAGCAATGGCAACTTGGGGTTCAGGATATAATGGAGAAGGGGCTTCATGAGTTTAGGAGATGAGGGTAGTCAGGGAATTCATTTTGAAGTTGCATTAATAATCTGGATTAAAGATGGTGGAAGAGGGTTCATAATGAATGTATAAGAAGTTAGTAAATCACCCCTGTCTTCACAGCACACCTATTTTCACCTTCCCTGCTTTCCTGTGATTTTGGTTTTTAAAGCTGTATTACTTTTAAATTTTATTCTCACTAGTTGTAGATGCAGGCTCTCTCTTTTCCTCTGCTACTCAAAAGTAAAATAGGTGTTTATTACAAGTACTTGTGAGTATGGGGTCACAGTTAATTGATTCAAGGAAAAACAAAGGACAATCTTGAAATGTCATAAAAAATCTCACATGACAATGCATAAATGAAAATGTATGTTTTCTAGGAGGAAAGCAAAGATGATCATCCCATATCAGCTACCAGTGTGTGCAGAGTCCCCTGGAGGGTGCATTGTCAACCTCCCTGTCAAGTGTTAGCCTAGAAGGTTGCATCTTAAACGTACGACAAATACCTGAGTGAGGTTTGCTTTATATTAAATTGCCAAAATGCAGCATTCTCATACTAAGAAAAGGGAAGGGTTATTTTCATTTTTTATAAATTTATGATCATTCACATTTCTCAGAGGATCCACATGTGATCCTCCACAAGGATTTGTGCCTATGTCTGCTTTGACCATGACACCATCTTTCTTGCAGGTGGACCTTCGAATTTCCTCCTATTTCTCCTTCTTGCTCCTGCTCTCTGTAAGGATTGCATTTCTTCTTTCTTCCTTCTCTGTTCTCTCCAGACAAATCTATGTTCCTTTCCTGACTTTTAGATTCCTTCAGCTCCTCTGTATGCATAACTCCTTTCCCCTTGTGGGCCACCCTCCAAAGAAATTGTGAATTTCCACCATCTCTGTGAAACCCTTGTGGATAATTTCTAGTAGCCTAGAAGCAGCAAAAACCCCAACACTCGTCAAAGAAAACCCAACATTAAAATGTATGTCTTGCCATAGGTTTGTGTTCTTATTTGCTGCCTTCTCTTTATGCTGTGCAGCTAGCTAGGCTGTGATTTCAAATGCATGTCTTAGATTTTATTCTACAAGATATGGAATGCATCTATTTCCATGCCTTACCCTGATGAACTTAGCTAGGGGGTAATTTTAATATCATCATAGTTGTGGATTTGAATCCCATAAAGGAATATTGAATTTGTTGTATGCATTATTTAGAAATTAGATTCCTAAACTTGAGGGTCCACAAAACTCAGTTTATAATTTTGAGAAAAAAATGGATGAAAATAAATATTTCTAAGACTATAGATGCGAATATAATTGGGGAAATTAAGTCTATGTCACACTGGAGTGTGGCTAAGGTGTTTGGAGGAGTGAAGGGTGAGGTATTTGGAAAATAATACAAAAGACCACATCCCAAACCCTGAAAATCATCGAAGACCTTGTGGGCATTGTGTGATGAACATGGTAATTTCAGAAAGCCTGGCAAAATTTTAAACACGTAATAAAGTTTTGTACAATTTTTGGACCATGTTTAAATTCTTACCTGTTCCTCTTGGTATTCATGAGCCACTGCACAAAATCTTGAGCACGCCTGGAATCCAGATACTTGCTGTAGTCACTGGTGAATGTGCCCTGTGAATGACGCTTGTCTTCGTTCATCTGATCAGGATCATCAGGCAGCTCTGTCTGGGAAGCTGAGAAAGATCTGTGGAAAATAGCGATTGGTGCAATGTACATCTCTCTAAAGCTAGACCCCTACAAAATATAGGATCATGTAAAACAGTAAGACAGGTGTTTCACTTGGTAGTTTAGAAAGACCTTAGCTTCTCATGGAAGCCCCAAGTTTTTAGTATAGTTGAATAGACTTTTACTCTGAATTCTAGTAATAGATTTCTCAGTTGGCTTCGTGTTTTTCTGAAACAGTATTAAATATTCCTCCACTAATTAATCTACTCATGAATATGCCAATAATGACAGAAGAGAGCAGTGACTTGAATATTTTAAAAGAGTAATGAATCTCTAACTGTTTGACATGGTAATTCTACTGTCAGAAATCTACAAACAGAAAATTGAAAAGTGCAGGGGATAGTATATATAAAATATTATTTTATATAGGAAAACCTGTAAGCCTCTTAAATATTCTGCAGAAGGGGAATATCTAAATAAGTGTACATTTATGAGATGAAATAGTATGCAACTGTTAAATATATATTTAATATATATTCTCATGATGCAAGAAAAATAATAATACAGCATTAAGAGAAAAAGCATGATACAAGGCCATTTAATAAGATGAGAGATTTTATATACAATAATGTAAAATTCAGGAAGGCAACGCATCTTTTCTTAAAACTTTGAATAGTTTTCTTTAGATATGGAATTTTGAGTAGTTACTTTTTTGTGTATTTTTCATGTGCGTCATGGACATGCAAGCATTTTACAATTAGCAAGAAATGTTATTTTTAAAGGAATGAAAAGGAGAAGATAGAATTAAAAATTATGAAGTAAGTTATGAATGGACAGATAGAATATTCCACAGAGCTATAATTTTCCATGTAACATGTTTTTCAGCGTTGCCCACCACCCCTTTGATTCTGAAGTAACTCATACTCTGGTTTATACTCCTGAAAAGTCTGACTTTATCACAATTATGCTTTAAACATTTGAAAATTGTGCAGGGTATTCACTCAATATTCCTGAGACCCTAATCAGTAATCACAGTTCTCATAGGCTTTATTCTGATCATAGTGCTGTGTTAGTTTAAGTATTGATTTAATACCTGGGTTTCTCCTCTGTGTCTTGAAGGGAATGCTGCCAGCTGCCCTGTACCAGCATTACAAACAATCCAGCCACAAAGTAAATGCTCTTCATTTTTGCTGCCTGTCAGAACACAGAGTGAGGGTTGGGGGACAAATAACCATATTTAAACATATCAGGGTAAGTGAGTTTGATTTTGACTAGGTAAGTACTATAAAAAGAAAGAAAAAAAATAATCATTTCAATTTTATTATGATTATATTTTTAACTTAATTTCAAACAGTAGATCATATTTTCCCTAGATTTTTTTGGAGGCGAAAAAGAATACAAAAGATGCCTTGTACGATTAAGCTTTTTCATTAATGTAGGACATTTCTGTTAATGATCAGAAGGCACATTTCCAGACTTGAAATAAAAAATGTCCACAATAAACATTTAAAATATCCACTGTAGATGATATGCTACATATGGTTAGCCTGAATGGCACCTTATCCATAATGCCACCCCCCTTCTCTATCAGTCTGGCTTTCAATTAATAGTCCTTCACTTCCAAGCGTTTACATTATACTGCATTTCAACCATCTTAAAGCAGCCTCAGGCTACAACTTGGCATACCAGCTGTCGGTTCAGATGTATTATTCATTTATATTTTAAATAGTGTAACTTGGTCTAGACTTTGTAATTATAAAGCGGCCAACAGATTTGAGGTATTTTAGGGTGCTTTGACCTGTTCTAAATTAAAGGGAGAAATCATTTTAAAGACAAGCAATTTGCAACAAGAACTAATGCTTCTGGCAACTTGAACAATCACAACTAAGATATAAGAGATTAGTATCATAAAGAAAATTAATGCTTGCTTCTGAAGTCTCTACATTTTTTTAAATTCTTTTTTTAATTGGATTTAGCCCAGGACATGACACTTTCACTTAGTGATACCATAGATCTGGCTTTAGGATGCATCTGATTTCTTGTCTTTGTGTCAAAAGCAAATGCCCTGTGAAGCCATAAGATGCCACAGATGTGACGATGCAGTGTGGCTGATTGGGGGACCGACACGAATGTGGGCAGAATGTCCCCAGAGAGCAGGTGCCTCTACACCCTGAATGGGGACCACAAGTTCATTCTTTGTCATGGACGTCTCTCTGCTGCTTTCAAACTCCATCATGCTTTTTTTCTTTCCTTTTTCTTTTCGAGAAATGGGGATTTCAACCCAAGTTTCCTTATATTTATCCATAAATAATCTGAATATTTTTAGCAAATGACATTTGGTTTGAAATAAGGATTTTACAAATATTATCATTTTAAACTATCAATCTTTTCTTTAACATCCTAGCCATATTTACTATCTTTCTCTGGCACTAAAATACAAAAACTGTAGTACCTGCAGTGGTAATTTTACTTTGAAATTTTAAGGGCTTGTAGATTAAGTTGCCAATTAGACAAAGCAACATAAAAGGAATTATTCACCCTTCTTGTTCACCAACATTAAATGACTAATTGGGCGTTTTGATATGCTTCTGTTTAACCAGTTGGCATATTGTAGAAGCCATATATTTGGGTAGTATCTTCTGATTATCATTCTCAATCATAATACATTTTAGGAATATTTAAAAATTAAAACCAGCACTACTTTTTAGAATTATACATTTGGAAAGTTTCTGATAAAAGGCTGAGAACTGTGAATTTATTTCTAAGTTATTTCTTCTACCCAAAGTCCTTAAAACATTTGCAGTATCTTGGGTTATATCGAGACAAATGTAGAGCAAGGAGTATTCTGCCACTTTGGGAGATGATGGGGAAGAAACAACAAAAAAAGAAGAGATTATTCAAAGTCTTGCAGTACAATCAAACGATAAAGAGCTAACTTTTAGACAGGGTCTTTTTTTTTTTGGTACCGGGGATTGAACTCGGGTCCTAGCGCTTGCAAGGCAGGCCACTGAACCACTGAGGTAAATCCCCGGCAAGAGCTGACTTTAAAAAAAATCTCATGTATTCACTTTTGGGTAAATTCATTGTTTGAGTCTCACTGCTGAGGAAGTAAATATTTATGTTAGTTTTGTGTCATGATTGTATTCAATAAGAAGAGAATTTCCTATTATTTTCTCTTTTTTTTTTAGTAGCCTAAGAAAGGAGAATGTTGTTTAATAAGAACTTCAAATTTTTATTCACATTTAAAAGGAAAATATGGCAATGGTAGTAATTGTTAGTGTAGGAAGTCCTTTAGAAAGACCACTCTTAAACCTAGGAAAGAAGACCTTATATCCCTAAATATATTGGTGGTGTAGTCTACATAAATACTTTAAAAGTTGATTAGCTCATTTCATAACAGGTTTGTTGTATTGAATAATACACCATTAATCCCTTATGACATGGAGGATATTTGTAAATGTGTGTTGTTTTTTTCTTTAGAAACTTAAAATTAATACTTCAGAATATCGAATATTTTTTAGAGAGATGTACAAAAATTTCATTCCAGAGTATAGCTACTTTGAATTTTATGTGTTCCTACTGCTCTTCGATGCATAGTAATTAATTATTAATTTCTAGCACTACTCAGATCTAGCTAAAGAAATTCCCGGTAACCAATAATATTTCTTCTCTATACCCACTATGTGATGGCTTATTTACAAAAATCTGATTTCATGGACTTTGACTTTTGGTTAGACTTCTCAGAAATTAGAGTATGTGAAAGATAGTAACTTCATCTTTTCTCTTGAAAAACTAGAAGCTTTAACTGATAAGGAAAAATTACTGTTATATCTTCTATAATGGACACATTTCTGCTGATTACAAAAGGAGCCTTCTGTTCAAAGTAGTATACACATCTATCAAATCCAAGAAAAAAATATTCATTGTTCAGAATGTTTCTACTTATTAAACACACAGCTCTTATAGTGGTTAAGTCTTGTAACAGATTCATTGATGTGAATATCTATTTTTCTGTCTATTTTATATCTTTGCATTGAATTCTTGCTCTGAAGTACTTTGTCGCTTCATTCTGTTAAAGTAGGTATAAATATATTTGATACTTTTTCATCTCAATTCTGTCCTGCATAAATTATTAGTGATAAAGCAAAGAACGAAAGAGCAACCCCTTAATTTATAATACTTAAAAATACTTCGCTTGTCCCCCAGAGAAGCTTTGCATTTTATTCTAATCTGCGATGTTAATCTTACCTTCTGATTTTAGCCAGTGGTGCAGGACAGGTGGAGCGCTGGCCAGATCACGGTGAGACTTCGGCTGTGCTCTGTGCCCTGAGCCCTGCACTTCTGTGCCCAAGCGCTCTGCTTTTATATGCTCTCCAGCTCTGTTTAGCCGCACAGATATTACGCTGACAATATAAATTTCTCATCTGTAAGTAATGGGTTTTTGTCACAAATGATTTCACTCGCCCACTCACTTTGCTCATCTACATTCTATGCTTGTGTTGGATGGGACCTCAGAGACCCGGAAACTTTTGATTTACTCTTGTGCCTTTATTTATTTATTTATTTAATTAATTTTATTTCGGTGGTGATGTTGGGAATGGAAAGGGCAATTTGGAAATTCACATTCTAATCTGTCTGGCATAAAAATCATTTACATTTTGTAAAGTGAAATTTGACTCAAGAGCATGGCATCACTTTAAGGTCCTAGATGTTCTTCGCTTTGCTACTTATCTATGTTGAGTTCACCTGAATTCGTTCATTTTTCTAGCTAAATAACAAACCATTTATTAAATACATGCTTATTAGGAATCCTCTCACCACTCTTACTTGGGATTAACTTGTGTTATTCTTGTGAGGAATTTTAAAGAACAATTAAGACCTAATGTATCTTGTTTTAATTAATTGAATACAGAGAGGATAATGCTAAATGAGTACTAAACATCTAAGATAGGTGATGCTAACAAGAGAGGGTCTAGTTATTCTTTTCTTTCCTACTGGATATTAAAATTCCAATTTACCTGATAAGAGGGAGGGGCACTAGATTAGAAAGAATAAGATGTTAGGAACTGTAAAGGTAAGATGTATAGTTGTGTTTCCTACTGCTTGTGACTTGTCATATATATAGGTCCTTAATGATCTGCAGAATTGAGTAGATATGGTTCTGTTACTTTGCAAACAATATAAAACCTGGAAAATAATTTGGACAGACAGTATGAGAGTCAGCATCATCAGATTTACGCCTGCTGTTATGCGCAAGCTGTGTGACTTTGGTCAGGCCTAATATTCTCTTTGTGCCTCTGCTACTGATTTGGCACAACTAGAAGGGTGGCCCAATGTTTCATTTAAAATGCAACCTCATTCCATATAACGAAGCCGTCACAACATTTCCTAACTAGATTCCACCCCAGTATTCCTATGTAGTCCTCTGCGTGATGATGATGCAGTGGGAGTAGATCATTGAGGTAACTGCAGCAATATCCCAAATGAAGCCAATCTCTTTGATTCGTGAATTAGACCAACCACTGAATATACAGCCTCATAAAGGCTTCAGATACCAGATTCATGTCAGACTGGAAGGTCTCACAGGTATTTTTGTGTTGGTTATTGTTGATTGTACAAAAGTATTCAAAATGTGGTCCAAGGTCCAGCATGAACTGGGAGCTCGATACAGTTGCAAAATCTCATGTCATGGCCAAGACTTGCTGAATTAGAACTTGCGTGTTAACAAGACCCCAGAAAAGTATATTCCTATTAAAGTGAGAAGCACAGATGCGTGAAGCATCTACCTCTTCATCTCCTCAGCGGTGCTGCTGGTGTCCTGATGTGAGGACTACTTCTTAGCATTACCAGCAGAGGGGGTGAAAGAGCAAAGAAAGGTGACAGGCCTGAGGTCTCCTTGGAAATGCAGATTGATTTAATATGACTGTCTTTTTATGTTTTTCATTATCATAGTAGCTATATTTTATTAAATGTTTGAGCAGATTCAATTCTATTTTCTCCCATTGCCTATTTGAGTTGATCTTCTCCCCCACTACCCCCTCTCCTTTATTTTTAGAGAATACCTGTTGGTGAGGCACCCCTGAAGCAGGGAGTCCCGGAAATGCTCTATACAAAACCTTTACAGCACCAGACTCTCTGTAAATACCGTTACCCAATGTCACAGAACATTTCTTTTCCCCTCCACC